GCTTAATCAAGCCAGGTAGAGCATTTGCTTCCAAAAGACAAAATGTGGAATTCACATTGCAAACACTTCCGTGTGCTGAGCATAAAGGAGCTCGTGATGATCGAAAACACCTGCAAAACGATGATTTTGAAACAACTGTGAGCTTTGGAGAGCTCATAGAAAGATCACCAATGAATGCTGCTGCTCTTGCCTTTGCTGTCATTGAACCAGTGTTCAGAAATTTTACTAACAAAGGATATATTCCCCGTCTAACCAAATTGCGCTGTGACTTGATATCTGTGGGATCTGTGAACCTAAAGAGTGCACTGAGAGCATTTTCTTTTGCTTCCAGTGTACCGTTTTTCAAAATTTTTATAATTGCATCAAGGCCACCTAAGTCAATCAATTGCATAGTGAGTTTTCGTTCGGATTTAGGAAGGTTAGCTAGTAAACCAGTAGCAGCTACTTGTACATCATTATTTTCGTCATTCTCAAGAAACCCGACTAAAGCTTCAAGTCTTCTAGGCCTGAAGAGGTATTCAACAACTCCTTCTGGTTCATGTTGCGAGAAAAGAAAAAGAAGACTAATGGCAGTTTCCCTGATTTCTGAGTCAGAGTCATCAAGAAGGGGAAGAATTAGTGATACACCGTGCGCAGCCAGAACCGCCTTCTTAACTAAACCTGTCTCAAACTTGCAAATGCCGAGAAGAGCGCGCAATGCAGGCTTACGGAAGTACTGAGCTGAGTTAGGAAGCTGCTGCAGAGATAGCAAGTTGGTGATAATGTTATCTAACTCGAGTTGTTTCCCTTCTCTGTCAATAAAGAAACCAATTCCATCAGAAGAGGAAGAAAGCTTCTCAAGGATTTCAGAGCATTTAATGCTAATGAATGCCCGTGTCCGAAGGGAGAACATTAAATCTAGAAGAATGGGGACACCTCCATATGCAGCAATAATTCCCTTATTGGCATGAACTCCTGCCAGTTTGACCAACGCTGATAATGATAATTCTTTCGATTCAATGCTTCCAGATAGCATTTCTAGCAAAGGGGGTATAACTCCTTTCTCGCCAAGGAATTTTAAATTTTCTTCTTCCAAATTGAAATTGATTATGGCTTTAGCCATTGAAATTCTTGAAGACTCCGTACCTTAAAAATCAAATAAGGAAAAGTAAGACACAAATGTTTTATTCCGTGCATAGTACAGCAATAAGACACAAACTAAAAGAAAAGACTTCCCATATGTGATTAAGTATACCAAGAAAAGAAGAATTTATATAAACATTAACCATGAATCAACACAAGTCGAAACAAAGATGAACTGGAAAGAATGTCTTGCTACCTTGAACCATGCGATCAACGAGTGCTTTGTACCAGCCAAATTTAGCAGCACAAGAAATGTTTTCCTCATCTATTTCAAAAAGCTCCGTCAAAATCTGTTCTGCAATCCCAGTTGAATCGCTGGCAGGTTCCTTTAGAATGGTAACAAGGTAATGAACTATCCTGGGATGCTCAGAAAGTTTTTTGCAGAAATTTCTATTCCAACCAGAATGGTCTTGAAGCAACTCATAGAGCAAATCAATTGCTTCCTTTATTACTCTAGAGTCATTGTGTAAGCAGGAAATAATGTGACCCCATCCTTGAGATTCAACCACTTTTTCCTGTAAAAATGTATGCAAATGTCGAATTTATAAGGAATTTCTTGTTTAAGTGATTTTTCAAAATTCCTTTTTTGGTAAAAAAAATGTTTCTGCTCAGCTTACATGAAAAATAAGATTGATTTACCTTGTTTCTTGCATGCCCCTCAACAGCATCCTTCAAAGTAATCAAGATCTTCATCATGACATCTATAGAATCAGAGTTCCTAAGAATGGAGATAATAATATCAGTAAGCTCTCCTATAGAAATCCAATCCTTATTAATTGAATTCTCTTTTATGAGAGCCTGCATCTGACTCAAGGACTCATGCAATAATAAGCCGGAATTAGATAATAAGTTCTCCCTGATAGACTTTATTCTAAAACAGTAATTAAGTTCTCTCCACTCTACTATGGAGTCTCTTAACCGAATGTTCGACCTTAGGGTAGTATCTTCAAGAACCTCTTTCGTTTTCGGGTCAGTCATATTGCCATCATCAAACCAAACTTCAATGGCAGATCTCTCACATGTGGTACCGGTGCAAAGACTGACCGGATCTACCATAACAGCTTCAGTTATCGAACAAAGGAAAGAATTAAGTGGTGGGATATATTTTTCCCTAGAACCATATTTCTCTATTACCTGAACCCTTTGAAAATATTGCTTCTTAACTTCTTCGTAATCACTTGCTGCATCAGCTTGAGAGAGTAGCAAAATGATCTGCTCCAAAAATATTACTTCTGCTCTTTCTTTCCTGTTTGCAGCTTCTTCTTTTTCCCACCTAATGCTGGCTATCTCTTTGCTGATCTCTGAAGGCTCCATTGGCACCCCAACTGCCCTTGCTATCTCTTCGAGCATATCGTTTGCAAAAGCCTGATCTAATTTTTGCTCCTTGATTCCATGGTTCAACTTATCAACAATGTCAAGCTGAGATTGCGAAGCCTCAAACTCGGCCCTTTGCATCTCACTCTGTAGTCTGTTGACTTGATCAGAAATTCTTGATAGGACCTCAGTATTTGCAAGAGACAATGCAGCTAGAGATCTTCCGATATCCTTAATGACTTGTTCAACTTCCTTGACTATGTAACGACACTTCATAAGTAAGTAAAAACGGCCGCTGTTCCTGTACTTCTCGACCAAATTACTTGCTTGTTTTACATCTGATTCAAGAGACTCCAGAGCAACCCTTGCAGCTAGTGACCCATTCAGTTCCTGAAGCTGTAATTCCTTTAGGACTGGTGCAATATCAAGCAGGTGTTTCGAAAGGACATTAAAACTTTCTTTGTCGATAAGAACATCTTTTGCAGCATTAGCTGTTCTCACAACCTGGCTAGTTAGAACAGCCAAAATTGTACCTATCGGTATGAGTTCCAATCCCACCATGGTAAGCGGTTTGTAGTCTCTTGAAATTTTTACTCAAACTGTGTTTCTATGGTGCAGAAGATGAAAGCTGAAACTACAACAACAAAAAATTGTTTCTCTTTTCCCTGCAATCAAATTCCTCTTATTGAGTCCTAAATAGAGCATTAAAAATGCTTCTTCATCAGCCTATTAATTAAGATCATGTCATTAAATAGACTTTAAAAAATTGATACCATAACATATATCAACTAAATAAATAAGAGATATAGATAGACAACCTTTTAAATAAAGATTACTGCAACAGTTTTGTCGGGCGCAGAAACTCAAACCTCAAATCCTTAAAGATTGAATGAAACAATAAACTATCAATTTGCTCCCTGGTAATCCCAAACTATCTATATGTCAGGAAAGTAACCAGACAAAAACTTAGAAGTCAAATCGGTGACAGTGTTGTTAATCACGGAAATAGCAATTTGATCAAATACAGTGTCGTTGTTCGATGATATTTCATACTCAGTGTTGTCGATGGCAGATGGCGGTCCATGGCAGAGAGCCAAAATTCCGTCATATTGGTCACGTTATAGCGGACTATGGCGGAAAACCCCACAATATCAGTCGATATTTACCATTGCAGCGAGCCCAAAAACTGCCATGTATATCCGCCACGGAGCCGCTATTTGATAACACTGTTAAGAAATGTGGTTGGGTCTAACTCAACTCTACAAAACCGGTTGGCCCGATAGCGAAAACCATAGAAGGTGGCCCACCGGATCTTAAACGAGGTTCTTGATACCATGTTAAGAAATGTGGTTGGGCCTAACTCAATTCTACAAAACCGGTTGGTAGTGTGAGGATTATCTCCACTTATAAACATATATTCATGTCATATATTGTCTGATGTGAGACTCTTAACACACTGGTCATATTAAATAGTGTACCACAGTAAAATAGCACATTGTTCAATTTTTCACCATTATGGCCGCTATTTGACAACATTAGTCAATGTCTATAATCAATCCAGTGTTATCAATGGCAGACTTAGGAAGAGTCAAAAACCGACATATGGCATCACCGTATGTGATGTATTGATGGCAGACCATGGTGGAGAGTCAAAAAAATTGCCACCAATATCCACCATGACCGATATTTGACAACACTGAATCAATCCCTAACATGCCAGAAAGGTCAAGGAAGGAAGGACATTGAATAAATACAACAAAAACATTTCAGGAAGAAGTGCGAAGGTAGAATTACCTCTCAGAAGAAAGACATGAAGCAGCTTACCATTTCATTAACGACTTGAGTAAGTTAATATTTCCTCTGGTCCCAGGAAAGTTTCTTTGCCCAAGAATTCTCCCACATTTTCCCATATATATTTAGATAGATAGAGAAAAAGGTGTACATATTCCAGTCCATGACTCCATGCAATGCAGAATTGATTTTTGGCGTGATAATGAAATTGCAAACGTTGACTCATTTACTAAATAACAATATGTTCCTTTCATTGCAGAAAATTTCATAATAAAATAACAGAAACAATTGAAAGAAACCAAGATTCGTAGTTCACACGGTGTCCATTACAAACGCTTACTATTACCAAACGTATTGAATACTCATATCAACAAAAACTATTACAAATTTTTTTGACCCACTTCTAAGTTTTGTTGATGTAGCTTCTTGAAAGTGAACAAGTAACGCTTCATACAAGGAAAAAAAAATTAATTCACACTAGTTTGAATTGTACAACTACTTTGAATTCCATCTTTCCTGTCGGTTGTCAAATTCATATTGACAAGAAAGTATTATAAAATTTTATTATTACATATATTGGGATTAAAAATATGATAAGTATACAATGAAACTAAAAATATGTTACAACTTAAGAATTTTGCAAATATGGAAAGAAAAACCTTTTATTGAAAATAGTTTAGAAGTCATACAACATTATACATAACAGTGGCACGTTTAAAGTGATACAGATACTAGTACATAACCACTAAAGCACAACCAACCCATAAGGAGCATCAGGGGTTGTTCCTTTTACGAGCTATCTCCCTCGCCATCTCTCGAAGTTCCTCTGGTGGTGGTGGCTTTTGTGTATCCTTGGGATATTCAATGTAAGACTTCTGCAACATGATAACAAGAAAATACAATTTAGAAGATGACATATCTAAATGACGATTTTAAGATAACTGTATTTATTTACAGAGAGTGGTAAGTAAGAATTCAAAGCCAACAAGCTATGACAATTAACTAAGCACGGTAACTATTAGCAATTAAGACCGCGGAATGGATTATTGGAAGCAAAAGCAAAAACCCAGAATGGATTAACTTCTAACTTAAGAGAGCTTCTGTTACAAACCAATTCTAGGAAATATCATCCTCCAATGACAGTGGTGTTGTCAGTCGTAGATAACTACCAGTTTGATCAAATTATACTCTGCTACAGAGCAATCTCCATTATTTGGCTACACGTTATAAAAAATTGCTTATCACAATACAATAGCAATTTGTTCAAATTCTCATCCACTAGAGAATTGTTATAGCCACTATTTAGAAATTTGACAAGGAATAATAGGTGACAAAATTTCACATATATGTTTCCTGCTATTTTTTTCCATGTTCGTGCAAAATCTACAAGAGTTTGACAGAAAAGAGATACTGTTGTATTGAACTATTAATGTGAATCTGAAATCTGTCTGATAAAATGCAAACTCCTATTACAACTTATATATAAGCTAACCAGGTATAAAAAAGAAACTGAGTCCAACAGATATGCAACGACAGCTAATTGATTCAATTACAGATTAATTGATGTAGACGAAGATTCTACTAATGAATACTGATCTTGTACACAAAAAAGTATTTGCTCATATTTCTTGGAAATCGAGACTACTCATAGTTGAAAATATTCACTCAACTCGCTGATGCACCAAACTTGAAGTCAGAATATTTGCACTAGAAGGAGGATCTGTGCAATGCAAAAGGGCTTACACACCCTTTGGACTTTTAGCCCTTGACAGACGGCCAGTGTTACTGATGGCGGATGGTGGTGAGTCAAAATCCTACCGTACGGCCAACATATGGCGCCGCTGCCATCCTTATTAGGCCTTGGCAGAGAGCCTAAAACTCGCCACCAATGTCTGACAACACTGATGGGCTACTGTTTAAGTATACAAAATAGTCTCATAGTTGGAGAATTGAAGTTGAGGTACTTTAAACACGTCCACCCTCTCTTCAACTCAACCCACTGAGGTGTCTTTAAACTAAGAAAAATATTAATAAATAGCCATTTTAATCCTTGAAATCGGGTCGGTCAATATAGTCCCTCAAGCTTTAAGTAATAGCAAATTAGTTTCTTAAATTAAAACAAATATTGAAAATTTTGTTTTCAACTTTTGAGATTTTTTTGTCCTCAATCAATTTTTATGATGTGGCATCTTTATCTGATGCGGCAAAACTCTCATACCTCCACCACTCCGCTGAGCTCCTCCAATACTTTGTCATCGATCTTCGTCTCATGGTCTTTGAGTATGAGTAGCAAAGACACCACAATTTTACTGAGATCCTCAACTTAGAGGGGGCTTCAGGATTGAAATGGAGGAGGATTTCAGGGATTTTATGTGACAGAAAGATACTGCTTAAGTTGAAGGGAAATTTTTATCAGACTACAATAAGACATGCGATGTTATATGGAACGGAATATTGGGCGCTTAAAAATCAACACGAGAATAAAGTAAATGCAGCAGAGATGAGAATCTTGCGTTGAATGTGTGGTAAGACTAAACGGGATAAGATTAGAAATGACAATAATAGGGAGTGTTGGGGTAGCACCTATAGTAGAAAAGATGGTTGAAAATAGACTTTGATGGTTTGGACATGTAGAGAGAAGACATCTAGATTTTGTGGTAAGGAGAATAGCTCAAATAGAGAAAAGTCAAATAGCTAGGATAGAGAAAAACCTAGAAAAACTATAAGAAAAGTTATTATGAAAGATCTCGAGATTAACAATTTAAATAAAAACATGATTCTTGATTGAACACTATGGCGGATATTGACCCTTGTAATCGATCCCACTTGATGGGATAAGGCTTAATTGTTGTTGTATCCTCAACTGAGTAGAGCCACACAAGTGTCGTGTAATCGTGTTATAAGAAGTTGTGGAGGACTAAAAATTTGGCTTTAGAAATGGGGTCTAAAAGCTAATTTTGGTCAAAAGTAGGAAGACAGAAAATGCATAAACCTATAAACAATAAAATCAATTTAGTTCCTCCATCAAAATATTTCTTTGGACTATCTTTGGATATCATAAAATGAACTTAGCGAAATAGAAAGGAACAGAATAGAATGAAACAGAATAGAGCGGAGTGGAATGAGAATTCTATTCTATTATTTGAAAATTTCAAGACGGAAAAAGACAAGTTCTTCATTCCATCCAAATTGAAGGAGAAAACATATGATAGTAAGTGATGAAATGGAATGAAATCCATAACACTTTATTCCGCTCCACTTTGTTCCATCCGATTTTTATTGATTCAAACAATAAATTACCACTTCATTTCATTTCAGACCACTCCATATGATTTCATCCGTCCAAACAAAGCCGTAGTTAACATCCAATCAAACACAATATAAAAAACAAATACAGTGAATTAAATAGCCTTTTACTGTGTCAAAACAAGCATAGAATCATTAAACTATGGTGCAAATTAAAATAAATAAAAAAAAAAATATATATATATATATATATATATATATATATATATATATATATATATATATATATATATATATATATATATATATATATATATATATATATATATTGAATTTTCAATTTAAATGGCCTATTTCGCAAATTTGAAAGACTAAATTGACCCACCTTTACATTTTACTAGAAAAAATACTAGCATTCATAGCTGAAAAACATAATTCTGAGAATTCTAGACTTACAGCAGCAGTAAGTGCTCATATTGTAATAGCTTTTTAACTAAGTATTCTGTTTGGCCGAATATTACACCTATGTCTTCCACATCTTTCCCTAATCAAAGTTTGAAAATACTCAGTAATCTTTCACTAATACTTTTCAGAAGTGATTGTTTGGAAGCTAATTCAAACCAACACTTTAAAATCTAGTTGTAACATAACCCTAAGTTTTGTGATCATGAATTAAAGTAAGCGAATAAACACGATAAAAGAAATTGAAAAAAAAAAAACAGAGAATGTGTGTGAGAGGGAGAGAAGTTACTTTTCCGATGAACTTGTGGAGAGTGTTGTCTGTATTGCTAGCATAAACGTACATAAGAACGATGGGTACGGTAACGTAAACCCCAAACTTGGCGATCTCTAGAATCCCCTTCGAGGTTCCCAGTGACGACATCTTTCCTTTCCTTCCACCAAGAAACTCAGAAAACACCTCAGATCAAATCACACACCTTTCAATTCAACGGGCTGGCCCAATCTCTACTAATTTATTGTGGATTACTCTTCGAGAAATTTACCTGTCAAACCCCACTTATATCTCACAACCCCAACCTGTATGAAAAGGCAAAACTGATTCTGCAAAATTATTTTTAAAATTTTTAAAATTAACAATTTTAAAATAAAAATTTGAAATCATTAGAGAAATACTGAAAATTTCAAGTAAGGGCGTGGATAGATAACCATTTAATATGAATCAATCTATTTTTATGGTTATAGTTTATAAACCAATTCATTTTTATGGTTATGGTTTATAAAGCAAACCACTTGTTTCGAACCGATTTAAAATCAGTTCTAAATAGATTTTAATTTTAATTTTAATTTAATTTTTTTAAAATTATATCAATTTTTAAATTTAAATATTTAAGTTTTAATATATTTTTCTTTGGAAATTAAAAAAAAAACATTTTAAAAAACAATTTAAAAAAAACTCTAAAAATAAAAAATATTAGTTTCGAACCGATTTAAAATCAATTCTAAATAGATTTTGATTTTAATTTTAATTTAATTTTTTTAAAATTATATCAATTTTTAAATTTAAATATTTAAGTTTTAATATATTTTTCTTTGAAAATTAAAAAAAAAACATTTTAAAAAACAATTTAAAAAAACTCTAAAAATAAAAAATATTAAAAATAAATAAAAAGAAAACTAAAAATAAAAATATCATGGTTATGTGGATCTGCTTATTAAAAATGTTATCAAAACATGGCACACAACCAGAATCGAACCTTGGTCTACTTAGCTTGCAAATTCCATCTTAATGATTAGTTGGTTTTACAAATTAAATATATCATCATGTTCTAATGCATCCTGAACAATAATTTAAGGCTATTATTATTATTATCATTATTATTATTATTATTATGATTATTATTAGTACTCTTATTATTATTATTATTATTATTATTATTATTATTATTATTAGTACGATTATTGTTATTATTATTATTATTATTATTATTATTATTATTTTTATGATTATTATTATTATTATTATTATTATTATTAGTATTATTATTATTATAGTTTTATAAATCAAATATTATTATTATTATTATTATTATTATTATTATTATTATTATTATTATTATTATTATTATTATTATTATAGTTTTACAAATCAGATATTATTATTATTATTATTATTAGCGTCCAGACGGGCACTCGCGTGCCCGTCTGTCCGCTTTTTTACTGCACACATATAAATATAAATGATATATTTTTATTTAATATTAATTTTACATGGAAGTTATGTGGGAAGTTATTAGTAGGGAGTTATATAAAAGATGATAGTAGTAGTTCAATGGAAGTTATTGTGTAAGTTATATATTTTAAAATAAGGGTAAATTTGGTATAAAAAAAAAGCTACACCAAAAACCAAGTATTGCCTTTATATATGTTATATATTATATATATATTATATATATTATATATGTTATTGATTATTATTATTATTATTATTATTATTATTATTATTATTATTATTATTATTATTATTATTATTATTATTATTATTATTATTATTATTATTATTATTATTGTGATAGTTTTACAAATCAGATATTATTATTATTATTGTTATTGTTATTATTATTAGTACGATTATTATTTTATTTTTTTATGATGATGATTGTTATTATTATTATGATTACTTTTATTATTATTATTATTATTATCATTATTATTATTATTATTATTATTATTATTTTTATTATTTTTATTATTTTTATTTTTATTATTATTATGATAGTTTTACAAATGAGATATTATTATTATTATTATTATTATTATTATTATTATTATTATTATTATTATTGTGATAGTTTTACAAATCAGATATTATTATTATTATTATTATTATTATTATTATTATTATTATTATTATTATTATTATTATTATTATTATTATTATTATTATTATAATAATAATAGCCTTAAATTATTGTTCAGGATGCATTAGAACATGATGATATATTTAATTTGTAAAACTAACTCATCATTAAGATGGAATTGGTGCAGTGGCAAAGAAGTAGATCACATAATAAGCAAAATAAATGGACGTTTGGGGGCAACCGACGGATCTGACTAAAATGACACAATTTTAAAAGTTAAAGGACCAACTTGTCACTTTTTAAAGATAAATGACCAACTTGGACCCCGAGATAAAGTTAAGGGACGAAAGAGAGTATTTTGCCTAAAATAAAAAATTTTAGCAAATTATATGGACTTCAAATGGTGACTAATATGTTATAATACATATATTTGTATATTTCAAAACCTCTATCTATTGTTGGAGAAATCTATAATATTTATGATCATTTTTTCATAAAGCTTTAATGATCTTCGAGATTTGTAAATGAAACTAGAGTCAAATCCAACAAATCAAATTTTGGTATATTTTCTTGCACATGTCAAATCAAACTCGATGCACTAAGATATAAATAATTAATTACTGAAAGTTCATATAAATAACGGCTAAAAGTCCATATAATTTATGAAGTATTAGTACACCGTTTTAGATAGTTAGAGAATTCGTAAACAATTTTTTCTTCATTTTGAAATACAAAATTCTGAATTTTTTGTAAAATATTTTTTTTTATGAAATTCAAAAAAATTTACTTTAAAATAGTTTAAAATATAAAATTGGTTTATAACATGTAAATGATAAAACATGAAAAGAGACAAAAACATATCAATCTAACAAATAATGAAATTTGGGTATCCAATAACTAAACCACATTATTACTATGGAAATCGGTTTATATTTGGATAACAAAATGGATTACCAGATTTATATTTTAACATTTAGTTTAGATTTTTAAAAGTGGAACAATTTGGATACAAATTTGGTTAACAATAACTGATTTTTTTTCACACCCCTAATTTCAAGTAAACTGTCATAAATTTAAAGAATAGTGAGCTTTTCAACGGAAATTACAAAATTTACGGTATTTTGTAATGCAAATTTTGAAATTCTCGATATTTTGTATCTGAAATTTCATAATATCTAGTATTTTCTATCGGAAATTTTAAAATTATCGGTACAAAACCCAGTTTTTTATCGGAAATTTCAAATTTTCTGGTAATTATAAAAATGTGGTTTTATATCGGAAATTTTGAAATTTCTGATATTTGCCATTTTTTTAATATTTAATTTTTTTCTTCTTTTACAGTGAAATTCAGAGGAAGAGACGACACTATTGTAGGAAGAGCTGTTGATCGAGCGACATATTAGAGTAGGGTTGACAGAGGTGCTGATGTTGATTCTTCCCAGCTACAGGCAGGACGAGTGGCCTCAACCGGTTCACATCAGAAGCGGTTGGCTGAGCGAGATCATTTCCAAGCACCTCGTTCCACTCGACGCCGACCATTTCGATCTGCAGAGCAGGATACAGATGAGGTGGTGTCAGATGTTCCTGCATCTGATCTCGTTGTTGAGTAGGTGGTTGATCCAGTTACTCAGGAGGTTGTTGAGGAGGTTGGTTCGGAGGAGGTTACTTGGGTGGTATAGCCAGATGTTGTTGTTGGCGAGTCGGGGTTACTGCTGACACGAATGTTACAACTCCTTCTGTAACACCCTAAATATACCTCCACGAAATAAATAAATCAAAGTAATTACATCAAATATATTCAAGATGTCACACAATTTATCATACAAAGCTACACATATATACATATGTTAATATGTAACTCATGCAATATTTGAAAACTAGTTATAATAACTATAACAACTCCACATGTCTTGAATTCAAAACTTCATTGAAATAGCGGAAGCATCACATAAATAATTATTCATAGTATAATTATCCCTTCAATAATAATACAAACCACAATATTATAGAGATATCCAAAAATCTCTATCAACACAAAAAGACACGACATTCCCTGACCCCAGTGTTACACATCAGAGCAGACACCGACACAAAAGAAAACTAGAAAACTTTGTCTTCTATTTATTTCTACTCCCCTACTTCGAGTTATCTTCACGATGTCCATGTAAAGGCAACATTCAAATAGAAGGGGTGAGATATCATAAATAGATAAAGGAAAGCATGATAATAAAGCAAGCATTAAATTATTTCATGCATATCACCCATTCTACACAACCAACATGACAACCATCCAACACAATAATAACAACCAACATATGACAACAACTTCCAACACATAACAACAACATACAATATACAACAAAAGATGCAACCAACATGTGATGCAATAAGACTCACAACCAGACTCAATGCATATGGTACCATCGGTCCCTATTTCAGAACTCGATCCCTATTTCAGGATCACAATCCCTGTCAGAATTTTCATAATGTCGTTCACACCCCACATGGACACACGAATCACCGTAATCGCTCACATCCCACATGGGCACACGACCACCTCAACAACAACAACAATAACGATACGATTCCATAATTACACTCCGGATAAGATGCTCACACCTCACATAGGCACACAGCTTATCTCACAACTCATGCAACCATGAAATGCATGACAACAACAACAATAACGAACATCTAAATAATGCAACATGCCACTATAGGCCAACAACAACAACATGTCATATAGTCCAACAACATCAACATGGCATACAATCCAGCAACATCAACATATAACATGGCAAGCTTCCACAAGGCATTTAAAATCATCTCACACCACAACAAAATGATCAAAATGCATTCAACATCAACAAATAACAAAATCATTCAAATTTTGTTACTGAAACTATTTTTAAATTGAAGCTCATCACGCCAGCTTTCTGACGTTTCAAACGGCACTCAAATCAGACTCCCGAAAAAAAAGTTATGAAGGTTTTTCAAAAATTAGTCTCAGGGTAACTGGTTACTCAAAAAGAGGTAATTGGTTACACCCATGGTAACCAACCAC